TCTCTTCAGACTCACTGCACTCCCACACCCTTTCTCTCTCTTCGGAGCAGGAAGAAAGAAATGACAATTAGGATTTTCTTCATCCTCTCTCTGCTCGTTTGCTCATCCTCCTTCCTCCATGGTGAGCATCTCGAATCCAGATCCATTTCTCTACACTTCCCATTTAATTACTTGGAATTTTGATAATCAATTTATTTTGGTTTTCGTTTTAATTATAATTTTAAAAAAAAACCTTATTCACATGCATAAATTATTATAATTTCGGGAAGATTTGGACACATCCATTTTTTTTAATTTAACGAAATTCGTCTCGATCGAGGTATGTATGTGATTGGAATAATTGGATTCTGGTTTTTGTTGTTTAAAATTTTTAATTATTTGATTGGGATTATGAATTTCTTGAGTGTTTTGATTCCAATGTACAATTATGAAATTTGATTGGACTGGAGACAAGTGGTGATTTCTAGCAAAATCAGTTTCTGAATGAGCGATGATTTTAAGATTGGGCTTGTGAGTGATTGCTTTATTTTCTGGAAGTAATTGCGAAGATAAAATAAATTATTTTCCTTGTTAAAAAGTTGTGATTGTGCAATAAATCTACTTTTTTTCCACGTAGAACTCAAATCAGAATGCACTTTCCAAAAACTATATTGTCGTCTCCTTTTTGCATGACAAAGTGAAATATGCATTTATGCTTCAAAAAATTTTATCTTTCCAACGTGGCAACGTTCCACAACCGTACTATGTTTCCAAGATATTTTACTGAGTTTACATGTCTGTAATTAGTTTGGCTTTTGCTTGATAGTTGTAAGATGTGAGCCTGACCCGGATGCAGAAGTAGTCAACTCACCTGAAGAAGGAGGAGATCTTGGCATCGTTGGAGAGGATGCCCAAGATTTTGGTGGTGGTGGGAGTTTCAGTCCAGCTCCAGGAGTGGAAACTGTTTGTGTTTTCCCTAGGAACCCCTCCAAATGTAAGTACTTCTGTTAGATTTTTTCCCCTGTCCACTTAGATAAGCATTGTCGCTGTTGTTAACTAATGTTCTAATCTCTTCTTCACGTTTAATAGGTTTACCATAGATAGATGTATATCTAATCAGCGCCCCCCTCCCCCCTTTTCCCCCTTTTTCAGCGGTTTTGGCTGGGGAAGAAAGTGAACTTCTAGTTGGAATTAAAAATGAAGGTAACTCTTGGTTATTGTGATGTGTATATCTTGTATCTTAGTCTGTTAATTTGGTTCAGTGATTGATTTTCTTTTATGTTATGCCAATTTTTAACCCCTGAAGTTGTCTTTTGTCATATGGACGTGTAAGTGTACGCAGTTAGCTGTTGCTTACGTAATTAATAAATCATAGTTTCTAATGATGCTGTATGCTGTAAAATACGAGGATAGATGATTTTACCTGCCTCTTTTTTGGATGATAAAAACAGGGGAATCACATCTGAATGTCATTGCAATCCAGGCCACTGTCCATCTTCCTTTTGATCACCAATATTTGGTTCAAAATCTTTCTTCTCAGGTATCTTTTGTGTACATGGTTTTTTCTTCATGATATGTTCCCCTCCCTTGCAAAGTAGTTCCTAGATGTTTATTCTGTGGCTGAAGAAATGTCATTGAGTATTGGCGATTGATGGTCGAAAATGTTTGGAGTTGTGGCAATTGGGACATGCTATTTTATGTGAAATATCTGAAACAATGGGTTGCAGGACTTTGAATGAGTGAATAATGTGACTTGCTACATTGATTATAAGATGTGTGCATATGTTACTTTTTCAAGCAAGCTAAGATTATATACACCTTTGCCGAATTTTGTTTGTGAGACTGTATTTCTAGGGCATTGGATATGAGTCCTGACTGAGTGTAACTGCAGGGGCAGCTGTGACAACTGAGGAAATGAGAATTTGATTTAGTTCACGGGGCACTGTTAGAACAATGACCACTTCTTAGAATCTGGCTAGTAGAGCCCAGTCTTCAGAGAAAAAGCTATGATGAGTCGCATAATAAGTTGATAGTTAGAACAGTTGGATAAATATGAATCTTTTCTGTTACTGTAGTTTCTGTGAAGCTGTTAAAATGGTGTCTCAATAGGCAACTGTACCATTGTTTCTTGATTTCTTGAATGATAGCAAAATCATGACTATATGGTGTACATATGGATTGGTGATTTTTGGACGATCTGATCCTCTTTGTCCAGCCATCTTTCTCTCTCAAGTTGGTGTACTTCGGAAATTACTTAATTCTTTATGGTTCTTGTCATCTGTGGTTTGCTTTTGAATTTTAAAGTTATATAGGTGTTGGTCACTGATGCCTCTGTCTGCATTCTCTAGGCTTTCAACAACGCATCAGTACCCCCTTCAGCTCAAGCTACTTTCCCATACATATTTGCTGTCAGCAAATTTATGCAAGTAAGTTTGTAGTATAGACGAAGCGTATTGTTAAGTTTTGTTCTTTATGTCAATACCTGACTTCACTTCAATGTGCTGAATCACTCTTTTCATTATTTTTTCAGCCTGGATCTTTTGATTTTGTTGGGACAATTGTTTATGAGATAGACCAATACCCTTACCAAAGTACATTCTATAACAGCACAATTGATGTTACCGAAGCAGGTGGCCCTCTCAGTGTTGAGTCTGTTTTTCTGTTTTGCCTTGGAGTTGCCCTTCTTGGTCTTCTTGGCTTTTGGATACGTGGCAGGATACAATATTTTTCAAAGGTGACTGTGGATTTCTGTTCTTACGCCCTTTTAGCTTATATAAAAGCTGCCCAATATTTTTTATCATGATAGTTAGTAGAAAGGGTTTCTTAGTAAACATTGTCTGTGGATCCATATAAATTTTAAGAATTCATAACAGCTTACTTTTGTTAAAAACTGCCAAAATTTTCTCCACATCATTTACTAATATACAGCATTCAGCATGTTATTGCCCATGTTAATGTTGACAGATTCAGCCTTTGTTTGGTAGAAATTAAAATTTAGATTTTAATCTAAATCAAAATCAACAACTAATTTTAACCACACATTTTGTGGAATCCACAACTTTTTAACCACACATTTTTTAACTTTTATTAATATCTACTAAAAATCTGATTTTAATCCCCACCAAACAAGGGCTCAGTAGAGCCGATTGGCATGATTGTAGCCATTGCCCTATCACTGCAGAGCGGATTGACATGATTGAAGCCATTGCCTTATCATTGCTTTGCAAGCATGTAGATAACGCGGCGGCAATATTGCATGTTCTCTTGATTATGCTTTAGGAAGTCCCCCTGTAAACTAGTGTGTGCACATGTTCATGTGTAGAGGGAGGGATAAAGCCAAGTTAAATATTCTCTCTCGTTTTTACATTCTCCATTTTACCTTTGTCATATTCTCAAGATTCTTGATCTTAGAAAGCGGTGTGGAAGAAAAGGAGTTTTTTCAGATATTTTACTCTTATGACATGTTTGGTCAGGAGGATTGAATAGCAACGAACACTATGAAGAAGATAAAAAAGTTAAATTCTTGTACATTGTACTCTTGTCCATTACTGTGCAACAAACATGCATTATCATATACCTCCGGACTTCTGATTATGGGAATGCTGATGTTATTTGAGTTGAAGAGCAAGGAAATGAATTGGTTCTCTGTGGATTGATTTAACATTGAATTTATAGCACCTATGTTTTGTTTTGTAAAAATTGTCTTGAAACCCTGTATTTCTCATCAGAAAACCAAGAGGTCATCGAAGGTGGAAGTGGGTACTGGAACAACAGATCCCTCAATGGACGAGTGGTTGCAGGTTTGTAACTCGTGCATTTTGACCCTCTAGCTTTTTCATTCTGTGATTCTCTTACGTTCATGCCTGTATTGTATCCCTTGAAGGAGTTGCCTGGTGAATATTGTGTTTCTAAAACCATTGATCATGAAATCAGTTATTCTTGATATTAAATGTACTAATTGGCTTCTTCTCCCTAATTGATCAGGGAACTGCATATACTCAATCTGCGGCAAGCAAATCAAAGAAGAAAAAGTAGCCGAGCATGTTCAGACGGTTAACCGTACGAGCGGTAAAACAAGTTAACAGTCCTTGTAACATAACTTAGGGATCCGTATTTGCGGAAGCTAGGAAGGTGAAGTAGTTTCCAAAAAAATTGTCTTCGATGGGCCTGCCTGACTTGTAGCACGAGGGAGAAACTTTACATATTTTTATTTTTGGGTGACAATTTTGAGAGTTGAGCTATTTTAAATGCCTGACTGACTGACTGAAAGTTGACTTCCAAAACTCAAGGTTTTGTTGGAAAACAGGAGATTTTATGTTAGATTATATCCTTATTTTGTCAATTGAGTTAATTATTCTCAGTTTGCTTTCGGATGATGTGTGATGAGAACTTTACTGCGGTTTTGCTGTTTTGGTGAAATTTCTGATAAGAAAGTGCAATCGGGGGAACTTTTAAAAATGTTTATTCTTAAACTTTCAATATAGTTGCATATTCAGTCTTGAATGCATTCACCCAATCCAAATCTCTTTAAATTGTAACATGGCTCTCATGAAAATATGCGTCACTTGAAGTTTATATGCACCTGCTTGAGTTGGGAAGCTAATTTTTGCTTCAA